AAAGTGAAAACCTTTTCACTTTCACCAGCAGGAGAGGGAGTCAGAAGGCTGAACACTGAGTACTCTGAGGCCCACTCTGCAGCCTGGGGGGGGGGGGCGCGGGGGCCAAAGGGAGACCAAAGAAAGAAGTTGCTGTTCTCTCTAATGCCCCTTATCCACGGCTCCCCAGACTTACCCTTCCTATTGCACAAACTCGAGTTCAAAATAAGTTCAACCTTCTCACAACTCACTTCTGTGTTTGCCTCAGTTTCCCCAATTACCTGTGCAAGAAACCTGAGAGTGATCCCAGGCTTATCTGTCTCCCTAACCTTCCTACTGGGGGGTCAGGACTGTGTGATGGCTAAGATCAAGGCTTTTGAGTAAAACAGACCAGGAACTGAATTCTGGCTCTGCAGATTACAGACTTACTCAACCACCATGCACTTCCAGGTCTTGAGGATACCATGTTATACTTCATGGCAGCATTCATATTCATTAAAATGTACATCAAGAGCTTTCAGGTCAGTGTCTGACATCTGGTGAATACTCAGTGTGAGCGCAAATCCATCAGTTATGCAGCCCTCACAATCTTAACCTCCCCCCATATTTGCCCTTCTCCCCCATTCCTATTTTTYCCTCTCCTGGATACCACACAAAAGAGGCTCAATTCAAATGTATTTTTCATACAACTGTCAGAGTAAAAATCTAGTCTCCTCTTTAGTCTGACACACTGCAACAGCTCCCTCCTACCTCCCAGGCCTTGCTTGTGCTTCTCAACCCCGAATGTTGCCCCTGCTCCCCCTCTTTGAGAGCTAGGTCATACCAACACTCAGCCCTGAGGTCTCATTTCAGAAGTCTCTGCTTGGTGATGAAGGAAATGCCCTGATTCTTCTTAATTTATTTTGGCAGTACTGTGGATTGAACCAAGGCTAGTTAAATGCTCTACCACTGAACTACATCCCCAGCCAGAAGTCTGTGCTTGGAAGACCTCCCYTATTGTGACATCCAAGAAAGTGAGGATAAAGCCCACCAGAACAGGTGGCTCATCTGGATCCTTCAGGCCACTCAAGACAACACTGAATGGGAGCCAATGAACTGTGGTTCCTGAGCCTGGCTTTGAAGAAGCCGACCAGAAAGGCTGTGATCTCAACCTTGAATCATGCTACCTCTTCCCTAGTCCCTCATGGCTGCAGCTTCCCTGAGAARAGACAGGGCTTTTTATGCCTCTTAGACTTCTCTCCCTTCATTCCCCACCCACCATTACCACTCTTACTCCTCCCCACACCTCCACTTACCTGTGCACACAGGACTGCAGAACTGCAGAACTGAGCAGCATGTTCAGTTCAGGACTTCATGCTTGATGACCCACCCACAGAGTTTGTTTCCTCTGCTGGGAGGTGGGATACCTTTTTCACCTCAGAAGGCTGCAAGAATAAAATCAGCAAACATGAAAGGGCTTTTAAATCATTAAACAATACATAAATGGAAAACCAGAATACAGGTCTCCAAAGTTTACACACGAAGTCACTTTCCACATTTGCAAAGTCTTGTTTATTCYATAAACAAGCACTCCCACCATTCCCAACCCCTGATCTGCCCACATAGAACCCCTTCCAAGTCGTGTCTTAGAACTCATCACCATGAAATTTTTGATAATTACTTTGAGACAATTTTTTTAAATAATCAGATGCCTGAAAGCACTTTGACAAATATTGTGGACTTATCTATAATTCAGTGGGAAAGGCACACATAAAAACACATGTTACAAAAGCATGTGCGCAGGGCCAGAGGAATCCTGGCTGGAGAACAGAGCAAAGGGCCTTMCGATTCCCAACTGTGGTTTCTGGTGTTCTGGTCTCTAAAATTCTATCCTAAGCTGGATGACATGGTGCATGCCTGTAATTTCAAGAGAACTGGGAGGTTGAGGCAGGAGGATCACAAGTTTGAGGTCAGCCTCAGCAATTTAGCAAGATCCTCATCTGAGTTTAGTGAGACCCTGTCTCAAAATTAAAGTCCTGAGAATATAGCTCAATGGTCAAGTGCCCCTGGGTTCAATCCCCAGTATAATAAATTAACTTCTATCCTGGAAGTATGAATCCACACTATTACTTCAYCCTTTCTGACATCCTTCTCCTGGTTTTATGTTCCCTAAGCCTGGGATTTTGGGGATTGTTACTCCATTACACTGGATTTTACATATAATTACCGTAAAGATGAAGAAACTAAGTTCTAGACAGTAGAACTTAATTATGTGACTGTTCAAGATCACATTCTAATTCACTGGTTCCCAACCAGGGCAATTTGGTAGTCTGGRGATACTTTTGTTTGTCCTAACTGGGAGTTGCTACTGGAATGAGGCCAGGGATATTGCTAAACACCCCACATTGCACAGGAAAGCTGCCACAACAAAGAATTGTCCAGACCAAGATGTAAATGATGCTGAGATTGAGAAGCTCTTATCTAGTTAATGGCATAATCAAATTTCCTAACAAGAGCAGACTTAATTGTACCTTGTATATTTAAAAGAGTTGATTAAGCCAAACACAGTGGTACCTTCCTATAATCCCAGCAACTCAGAAGACTAAGGCAGGAGAATCTCAAGTTTGTTGTTGTTGCTGTTTGTGGTGCTGGGGATCGAACCTAGGGCCTTGTGCAAGTGAGGCAAGCACTCCACCAACTGAACTATATCCCCAACCCAGAAGAATCTCAACTGTCTCAAAATAAAAAATAAAAAGGACTGGGGGTGTAGCTCAGTGGTGGAGCACCCCCTTGGTTCAATCCTCAGCAATAAAAAATAAAAWTTTTTTTAAAACTGGTAAACATCTGGAATTTACAATTACTTTTATTAAACCATTTTGATTGTAACAGTGCTAATTCTTCTATCAGTAAAAGTACTGATGGTCAGCCAGGTGCTGTGATACACAACTATAATCCCAGTGGCTTGAGAGGCTGTGTAGGCGGATCTCAAATTCAAAGCCAACCTCAGCAACTTAGTAAGGCCCTAAGCATTTCAGTGAGACTCTGTCTCTGCATAAACCATAAAAAAGGGCTGGGGATGTGGCTCAGTGGTTAAGTGCCACAAACACACACACACAAAAAGTACTGACAGTTCACCCTTGAAACAATATAACCTTGAGTTATTTTTCCGGTAAAGATGACCCTCTGATGTAGTCATCTACACCCTCTTCTCCCCTCTTCAATGGTAAACCTTTGTAGAACAACAGGCTAGGGGGTGTTTCCCTGCGATTGAGGAGATCCCTGAGATTTCACCCTGATGAGGCTCACCATGATTTCAATGGCATTACTTTCACCCTGTCCAACTCAAGTTGCTCAAAGTCCTTGAACCTAAAAGGTTGCTTCAGCCATCTCAACCTTTTTGTTCAATTCCAGAGGCTGAAATTCAGGAACTGCATTATCAGTTCACCAATCTATGCACCAACTCTGGGGCCTGGTGGTGATCCCACCCAGGACTGGTATCATTCTGGAAAAGTAGATGCCTTCTAACCTAGAAGTTGAATCAGTTAGGGTCACTTTCAGGCAGGGCATTCCAGTACATCCTGTGGAAGAGCAAAAGAGGTATAACAGGTGGTTCTAGTCTTTTGAGAATCAACGATCTAAGTTGGAGGAAAATAATAAATACATATGAAGAAATAACCAAAGATTCAAAGCAGAAAATAATACTTCTTGAAGACAGTAAGAGCTATAGGGATGTAGAGATAAAAAAGATCTCCCTGAATTGGGGAAGGTCAGAAAAAGTTTTACTGGAGAGGAGGGTGATCATCCTAGGGCCTTGGGACAGGTCTCACAAGGTAGTTAGGAGTTAAGTGGAGATAAAGAAGATATGAAAAGCATGTTTAAAGCCAGCTGTGGTGGAACATGCCGGCAATCCCAGAAACTCCAGAGGCTGAGGCGGAAGGATTGCAGGTTTGAGGCCAACTTGGGCAACTTAGCAAAACCCTGTCTCAAACTTTGAAAATTGAACCCAGAGTCCTCCCTGCATGGATGTGTGGGGGCAGAGGGAGAATGAGAATGAGAGAGACAGGAGGGAGGAGGAGAGTGGTGCAGGGAGGAGGGAGAGAGAGAAGGAGGGAGAGAGAGAGAGAAATTGTGTTTGAGAAAAGAGAGAAAACCAGTCTGATTTTCTCACACTAAGTGTGAGAAAAGTCAGAGAAAAAGTAAGACAGGTTTTCCAGATCATGGCAGGCCTGAGTTTCAGGCTAAGGAATTTATACTTTATTCTGTACATAAATGGGGAGTGGGGGGCGGGACTCATGAGACTGAGCCAACTGGTGAAGCAGCTCACTCCCAGACCAGGTCCCTCTCTCCTTCCCCCTGGCTTGTCTAAAGGCCTAGGTCTGGGAGCCAAGGATTGCAACCTCCTGTCATGCTGCCTCCTCAAACCCACAGCTGTTCCAGGAAAGGTCATGGGAATTCAAAGACCCGAACAGAGTCCCGCATCTGACCTCAACTTGTTGTATGTTTCACTTTCCCCAAATATGAAAATGATCCCATTACCCTTATTTATCCAAGCATCAACAAAATTAGGATAACAGAACTTGGATCTGCTCCTGTGTGGAGGGAAACTCCCTCATGGGCTTTCTATTGGTATCCAGAGGCTGTGTGGAACTCCGGAAGAGAGAGAGGCCTGGCTCTGAAGGGTGGGCACCCGTCCAGGCCCAGCCCTCTCTCCCCTCCTCCTGGCTCCTTCCCCGGGCAGGCCAGAGGAAACAGCAGCTGTTGTCCTGTGGGGGACACAGGCAGAGGTCCACCTGGCACTATTAGGATTTTCACAACACCCATCCCAACTTACATATACAGAAGCCTAGGGACAGGTTAGGCCAACAGCAGTGACCATGATAACAGAGGGAGAAGGAAGCTGGAGTAGAGGTTGCTCTCATGAAGGACTTTCTTCCCATCATCTTCTCTCCCACCATTTTTTTCTTCTAAGTGTCCCTTCTCCCTCTGCAAGACTCCCTGACCAGTGCTGGTCTTATATCTATCTGTTCCTTCATATTTTTCTTTCTCCCATGGATACAGTGAAGGTAAAACAGCAAAATTATTCCACCAAGTGCAAAGTGAAGCAGATCTTGCAAGCTGGGTAGTTTAGGTAAACAAACAAAAATTCTCTTTCTGACCAAATAACTGAAGCAAAGCAAAGGTTTCAGCCCGAATTGTACAGATGGTAGGTTCAACTCTTCTACTTCGATTTTCATGTGCAAACTTAAACCTTTACTCCCGTTTCCCTTTGACCTGAGACAGTGGGACCTTGTTTACTTCATCTGCACACAGCACTAAAGCAGCCTTCTGGAGAGACCAGCATAATGGAGTTGAAGAGCAAGCTAGGATAATTATAATGACAGGAAAACATAAGAGCAGAGGGCAGTTCAAATCGTGGTTTGGAAACATCTCACTTTAGGAGAATGGGAAGTGGAAAGGAGACTGGGCTAGGAATTCAAATTAGCTTGAAGTCTTCTACCCCCTCCTCCCACCCCAGCCTCCACTTCAAGGGCTGGACTGGCCAGAGCTAATATGCATTTGGCCCAAAGTCTGCTTTAAAACATGGATTTTATCCCCAAGCATGTGTGTTTCCACAGCAGCAGGGGCTAATACTCTACCCAGAAGTTCAGCCTGCAAAGATTCAAGCACCTTTACAAAGAAGCTAAGGCCTAGCTGAGGGCAAACCCGAAGAGCCCAAGGCCTGTGTAAACTTGTTCTTGATTCTCTTTTGCCACCTAGTGGCATTTCACCTCTCCAACACTATTTTTTTCTTCCAGAGATCCTTCGTCCTCACCCATGCAACCTCTCTGCTGTTATAATCTGCACAGCAGCCACGTGGTGCTTTAAACAGGCCCTCCCTGCCTCTGCTTACAACCCTGTGGGGCTCCACATTGTACTCGGAGTGGAAGTCCCAGCCCTTCCAGTGTTCTCTAAGGCTTCCTACAGTCCGCCTCTGGCACCTCTCTTAACCCCTCATTCACTTTCTCTGGCCACACTAGTCACCTTGCCATTCCTCCAGCCCCCACCCCTCCGGGGGACACTTGTGTGCTTTAACACTGGTATTGGACTCCTTTCTCTCTCCCTCCCTCCCTCTGTCTCTCTCTGGAACAGTTTTCCTCCAGCAGAGGGTGACTGACTCTTCATCTTCAAGTCTCTGTCCCAGAGTCACCTACTTCCATGACCCTACTCAAAAATCACTGCCCACCAACCCCTATCCTGTTCTATATTTTTTTCTTAGTAATTATCACTTTGAGCAAAGTATAGTTATTTATTTACTTATTTTGATACTGGAGATTGAACCCAGGGGCACTTTAACCACTGCACCATATCCTCAGCCTCCCCTTTTTAAAAAATATCTTTAGTTTTAAATGGACACAATACCTTTATTTATTTATTTATTTTAATGTGGCACCGAGGATCGAACCCAGTGCCTCACAAGTACGAAGCACGTGCTCCACTCCTGACTTACAACCCCAGCACCCCCAGCCCTGTTTATATTTTATTTATTTAATTTAAAAAAAATATTTTTAAGTTGTTAATGGACCTTTATTTTATTTATTTGTATGTGATGCTGATAATCGAACCCAGTGCCTCACGCATTCTAGGCAAGCATGTTACCACTGAGCCACAATTCCAGTCCCTATATTTTTATTTTTTTAATTTAGAGAAAAGGTCTCATTAAGTTGCTTAGGGTCTTGCTAAGTTGCTGAGGCTGGTTTGAACTTGTGATCCTCCTTCCTTGGCCTTCCCAGCCACTGGAATTACAGGTATATGCCACCATGCCTGGCTTTATTTATTTATTTATTTATGGTACTGAGGATTGAACTCAGGGCATTGGATCACTGAGCCACATACCCAGCCATATTTTTATTTTATTTAGAGACARGGTCTCACTGAGTTGCTTAGCACTTCACCATTGCTGAAGCTGGCTTTGAACTTGCAATCCTCCTATCTCACCACCCCAGTCGCTGGGATTACAAGTGTGTGCCGTCACGCCCAACCTATATTTATTTTTTTAATGTCTTTCCTCAATGGAATGTAAGCTCCAGAAAGGCAGGGACTTTAATCTTTTTTTGTTCACAGAAGTATCCCAAGTACCTTGCCACATAGAAGTTAATATCTGTTGACAATACAAATAAAGCTGAACCTGAAATTACCTTTTTTTTTTTTTTTGTACGAGGGACTGAACCCAGGGGTACTTAGCCACTGTCACTGAGCCACATCCCAAACCCTTTTATATTTTTTTTTTAAATTTTGAGACAGGTCTCACTGGTGGCTTTGAACCTTCGATCCTCTTGCCTCAGCCTTCTGAGCCACTGGGATTACAGGCGTGTCCCACCACACCTGGCTGAGATTACCTCCTATTTACAGGTGAATTCTGAAAACAAAAATACTATTCATCTTGGTTTCCCAGGCCTTCCCCTCCACAGATGATGATGCTTTTCTGACTGACTGTCGAAGTGTCATACTGTCATGGGAGTCCCTGGAGCAGCCTCTACCCAGGCTGTAACCATCACGAGGAATAGGAATTACTCCATGAAGAAAGGGCTGGGGCAGGGCAGCATTTCAAATGTAATCACTTGGGTAATGATTAAGTTTTGCAACTTTCAATGAAATAGGGAGGGAAAGAGAAAGAATGAGAGGTGTTGGGCACCTTCTCCCATAAAGTCAGGTGCCCTTGGTCAGCACCTGGAATTGGAGAGGCCCAGAGAAATGAATCATCTTAGCACAGCTGAGTTCCAGGGGTGGTGCTGAGCATTGTGACTGGGATGAGTCATCCACTTCCCTTGTCTCCTCCAGCATCTCCAAAAGATAAGCCGTACACCTGCCTGACACGAAACCATACAAACTGACCTTCTAAGCTATTCTACCTGTTCCTCGGGTCAGAGCAAAAACAATCCTTAACACCACTGATTGAATCTCCCCTGAATCATGAACCAGTGGTGTATGTAGGAAGAGATGACAGCTCTCCCTGAAATTCATTTGGGTTGACACCTTGATCAGGTGCTTTATTAAACAGTCATTAAAACCATGTGGCCTGGGTCCAATTACTGTATACTCTTTGAATTTGTGGATTCAAGCTTCCTCATTGCTGAACACGTTTAGGCAGGTTCAGCAGCTCTATAGGCATCCACTTATTTAGGATATGTAAGTGGAGAGGCATGAACCTGATTCATTTCCTGATCTCACCCCAGGAAAGCTCTCCAGTTCACCCCCAAGCAGAAGCAGCATAGCTCAGATYGGCTCTTAAGGAGTTAGCAGTGAGCAGAGGCACTCAGAGGTCTGACAGCCCAGAAGAGTTGGATACAGCCTCAGCCCCCTGAACAGGAGTCACAACGCAAGGACTAAATAGGGAGGTGAGACCTGCAGCAAGATACTGTGACAAGAAAGGATGGAGAAGGAAGGATGGTTCTGACCAGATGAAGAATGAGCAGATGGACAAAGGAGGGACTCAGGTTAGGGGAGATGAGGATACACGGGGGTGGGGGAAGTAGAGTGAGGGACAGTGATGTTAAAGATGGAGGCATGAGATAGAAAAACAATGGGGACATGAGGATTTGGAGTTGGAGATATGGAGGGGATGAGACACAGACACAGAAACATGAGGACACAGGGAGGATGAGGCCTGAAGAAGAGAAGGCAGAACAAAGAAAGAGGCAATAGGGACAGAATGCTGGAAGGTAGGGATACAAGGGGAATGAGGCCATAGATTTAGGGGACAGGGTCACAGTAGCTGTGGGCACACAGAGGGAGAAGAAGAGATGAGACAGAGTGAGGAAAGGAGACACAGTATGGTAAGCAGGGTCTGGTGGTGCACACCTGTAATTCAGTGGCTTGGGAGCCTGAGGCAGAAAGAATCACAAGTTCAAAGCCAGCCTCAGCAATTTAGTGAAGCCTTAAGCAACTTAGTGAGACTCTGTCTCAAAAATTAAAAGGACTGGGGATGTGGTTCAGTGGTTAGGGATCCCTGGGTTCAATCTCTGGTACCAAAAAAAAAAGAAATAAAGAAAAAGAGAGACATGGTATGGTAGAGAGACTAGCTAGAATAAGCAGATAAAGGAAGGCAGTATTCTCAACTGCATACTTCTGAATACCTCTGCTGTCTCTTCCTAGCAAACCCAGCCTTCCATCCTGACAGGTCCTCTCAGGAGAGATGACACCAGCCAGACCAGGATTCTACCCCCTGCTGCTGCTCCTGCTGCTGGGACTGTGGGTACCTGAGGCCCCAGTCAGTGCCAAGCCCAAGAACATGACCTCATCTCAGTGGTTTGAAACTCAGCACGTGCAGCCCAAGCCGCAAGCATGCAACTCAGCCATGGGTCAYGTCAACAAGTTCACAAAACACTGCAAAAACCTCAACACCTTCCTGCATGAATCCTTCTCCAGTGTGGCCACCACCTGCCAGACCGCCAACATAACCTGCAAGAACAACCATAAAAACTGCCACCAGAGCTCAGGACCTGTGTCCCTCACCATGTGTACACTCACCTCAGGGAAGTATCCGAACTGTAGGTACAAAGAGAAGCATCTGAATGCACCTTACATAGTAGCCTGTGACCCTCCCCAGAAAGGGGACTCTGAGAAATTTCAGTTGGTTCCAGTGCACTTGGATGAAGTCCTTCAGGTTTCCAGACTTTCTGACTCTTTGGTTGGGTCTTAATTCCTTCTCCAGGCCTCTGCACCGATCCTCCTTGGCTCCTTCTCCACCCAGAGTGTTCTCTTCCTTTCATCTCTGAGGGCTCTTCCTGGTTCAGGCTCTTTGGAGAAGCTGACAGGGAGCTGAGGCTGATACGTTGGTGGGCTGAGCTCCGAGAAGATGGTCTTTCATCTTTTAATTGCTGTTTTCCCAGAAACTTATCCCCAAGAGAGGGGCTGAGCAAACTCAGGTTCATAGGTTCCCTGGTCTATACCTTTAAACATCTCTCCCTCATCCCATCTTGTCATGATAGCATGATAAGAGAGGAAATAAATGGAGAAGGGGTGAATAGAATTTATAGACAGCTCTGTTTCCATTCCTAAACCAGAAGTCTTCCCARCTCTGATGTAGGGGTCACCTGTATGGGGAGAGGGGGTCRGAAGGAAAGAGGAAGACAAAGAAATGCCACATGATATTTATATAACACGTCACACTTTTCACAATATATCCACAGGAATCCTGACAGGGATTGCTTGCCTCCTTTATGGACGAGGAAATTGAGATTTCAGAAGGCTTAATCAATTAAAGAGCTTGTCTGATTGGTTAGAAGCAGCACCTGGAATTGAAAATTGATGCCCTAAATCTCAACACAGTGCTACTAAACCAGTTGGGTATAAAAGCAGACCAAAACAGATACAAGAGGAGAAGTAGGTTAGAGTTCACCCATGCCGAAAGGAGTACTGAGAGTCCTACAGAGCCAGTTACCCTGTGTTGGCTGCAATCAAGGTCATTACCTCTCCAGCCAAGAGATCTTTTTATAAGGTGCCCGGGGATCTTGATTCATTCTCTCTCTCCCTCTCTAACTGCCCCTCCCCCTTCTCAAGCCCACTGCTATTCTGACCTGGGCTCTGGGCCTGGTTCTGGGTAGATCCCTTTGGCCTGAAGGCATAGGGTAAGGGGAGTGTCCCAGCTTCATCCCTCTGTTCTGGGATCACATTTCCCTTGACCTTAAGGGACTTCCGTGGCCCAGAGCCTGCTTGTCACAAACAGCCTGGTGGAGCTGCCAGAGCTTCCTTCCTCGTGATAATGATCTCCCTGCCTCAGTGCTTCCCTGGCTCTCCGGGCTGGCAGCCTGCCCAAGACTGAGGGGCTGAGATGTGGAAATGCCGCCTCCTTGTCCCCCTTGGCTGCAGCCACCATTGCTGCTTCTAGTGAACAGAGCTACAGATGCTCTGGCTTTATATTGGCTCASTCCTAAAAGCCCCTTCTGCATTGCCTGCATCCCTGACCATCACCAGCCCCTTCTCTCTTCCTTCATCACAGTCCCAAACAAACTGCACTGTGTCCCCTGCCCACCCTGTTTCAGACCCAATCACACTGCTAGACCTTCCCAGCCCTGTAGAGGGTTCTACTCATCCCTCCCCAGCCCTGCTCCATCACTCCTAACCAGAACCCGAAAAAACTTTGKGTCCTGAAAGAAGTGGGTGTAAATCCTGTCCCAGTTGTTCCTGGCTATGTGACCTTGAGCAAATTACTGAACATTTCTGCAGGTCTGTCCACAAAGCAAAATGGAAATAGTTTTACCTACCAAACAGGATTGCAGGAAGATTTAGAAGTGATATTTAAGAAACTCTTAAATGGGTAATGGCAACGAGTCATAGTGGTGATAGTAGCAATATCCAGCTTTGACAAATAGCAGACCAGGGCAAATACCCCATGCAAGTTTCTCAAGGACTTTATTCTACTAAAGTAAAGCCCATGCATGGGTTAGAGGATGAGCCCTGAAGCAGGGTCCTGCTAGAGACCAGGGAGAAGGTAGAAGGAGGATAATCAAAAGAAAGGAGAGGCTGGGCGAGGTGGTGTATACCAATAATCCCAGTGGCTGGGAAGGCTGAGGCAGGAGGATAGCAAGTTCAAAGCCAGCCTCAGCAACTTGGCAAGACCCTAACCAACTCAGTGAGACCCTGTCTCTAAATAAAAATATTAAAAAGGGCTCGGGATGTGGCTCACTGGTTAAGTGCCCCTGGGTTCAAGCCCTAGTACCAAAAAGAGAGAAAGAGGCTGGAATAATTACAGCCTTGGGGAACAGAACACTGAACAATTCAGACAGAATGTGAGGCCAGTAAGTTGAGGAGTTAGCCTTCACAGGCTGGAAAGTAGAGGAGCACTAACTGCACATTGTGGCCAAATGCCACACAACTGAGTGTGAAAGTCTATATTTCCTGGAAACAGAGCATTGCCATCATAGAATGGGCTTCTGGAATACTCACAYAAATCTGAAGTTTCATCTTAAATCCTTATTTTGTAGTCTTGTAGTCACCATACTATACATTTATCATTCTAAATAGATAATTTGCAACTAAAATGCATAAAAAGACAAGATATTTGTGGGCACCTGATTTTTTCTMTTCGTTTTATTCTTTTTTCACATCTCTTTTTATATTCTTTACTGATGCTTGTTCTTATGGATATTATAGTTTTGTATATAGACATCCTCCTTACAAAATTTTGAACTTGCTAAAATTATGCTTTCAGTGCATCCTAACAGAATGAAAAGACATTCAACTGGGGCTGGGGATGTGGCTCAAGCAGTAGCTCGCTCACCTGGCATGCTCCAGTCACTGGGTTCGATCCTCAGCACCACATAAAAATAAAATAAAGATGTTGTGTCCACCAAAAACTAAACAATAAATATTAAAAAATTCTCTCTCTCTCTCTAAAAAAAAGACATTCAATTGGACTTCTTTCTTGACTCACTACCTAAATACTATTAAACACTTTAAAAGAATTCTAAGTGGGGCTGTAGTATACCTCAGCTGTAGAGCACTTACCTAGCATGCACAAGGTCCTGGGTTTGATCTCCAGGAACACACATGGGTGCACACAAGTGTGCACACATGCAAAAAACAAAAGTTCTAAGGTAATCTGTGGTGACAGAGGCTGGAATAATTACAGCCTTGGGGAAGTACTAACTGGGAAGTGGTATGGGGGTGTCTTCTGARAAGATGGAGATTACAGTGTGAAAACTCATTGAACTGTACACTTAAGATCTGTGTGCCTTACTTTATGGAAGTGAATTAAAATCCTCCAAAATACATAGTTATTAAGGATTCTTAAGGTTGATTTATTTACATGATAAATGCTAATACACCATTGTATTCTAAAAAGGTTATCAATGGGGTGCTCACACCTATAATCCTAGAGACTCAGGTGTCTGAGGCAAGAAGATCAAAAGTTCAAGGCCAGCCTCAGCAATTTAGCAAGTTCCCAAGCAACTTAGCAATACTCTGTCTCAAAATAAAACATAAAAAGGGCTGTGGATATGACTCTGTTGTTAAGCTCCCCTGGGTTCAATCCCAGGGACTAAAAATATAAAATAAAATATTATCATATAATTAAATCATAGATAGAATTACAAGATAATTTCTATTATTCTTCCATGTGCTCTTCATTAAATTAAATAGCACTTGTATCATTTATTAAATTGTTATAAATAYTTTGGGCTCAAGAAGTACATAAAGTTCTTCCTCAGGTTATATAGCTAACATACTTTCCTCTATTATTTATATTACCTGTGAACTAATTTTGTCTTTTTTGATTATGTGAAAATTTTAAGAATTATTTTATATATAATATTATTATAGGCTTTTACAGCCATTAATTATTAAAATAATTTTTCTTTTCTTTTTTTAATATTAGTTTTTTAGTTGTACACAATACCTTTATTTTGTTTATTTGTTTTTATGTGTTGCTGAGGATCAAACCCAGGGCCTCGCATGTGCTAGATAAGCGCTCTACTGCTRAGCCACAACCCCTGCCAAAATATTTTTTCTTATAATAATAAATATGTATTTATACTTCCAGTTGATGACAGATTTTTAAAACTTTTAAAAGTTCATAAGGGGAATTTCACTGCAATATCTCACCAATATTTCACCAATAGTTGAAAGTGACACTTTGATGTTAACAGTGAATCCAAATGTCCTGCCTTGTTCTCAAAACTGCTGTTTTAGCTCATTGTATTTCACAGTTACCCATTCCCTCAAATGATCTTGATCAAAGTCAAGTTTAGCTATGCCAGGTATAATGTTGAAACAGRCATTTGGCTAGTGAAGTTCAAGATAAAAATAATTTGGGCCAAAAACCCAGGTTGGCTGAACCTCGAAGCATTCTTACTTGAAAGTTAAAGAATGGAGGGGAAAGTTAAAGAAATGAAAAAGTAGACTGATGAGTTATGAAAGATTTCTGTTTCAGGGGTGGGATCCTGGAGGTGGGTGGAAGACAGGGGATCCAGGGGACTGAGACCCACCCTTGACTAGATAATTTTAAAGAAAATTGCTTCAATCTGGATCCAAGGAGCATAAATGAAGTCCAGTAAAGAACATAACCCTAGAAGTAGAGCAGAAGTGAGCTGGCTTTCCTAGGAAAGCAACTAACTATCTGAGACAGATTAGGTAGGAGACTTCTACAGCTCCTTAATTCCCAAAAGTCTCCACATACTGCAGTAAAAGAGCCATTGACACTATGAAGAGAACTAACAGGATGAATGTAAAGAGAAGGCTTCTGACTGAAAGGGCAGGGTGTCGAAAGAGGAAATGCCCTTGAAATTGGGACTCTTCTCTTCACATTGATTTCTTTGGCCCTTTTTATGTTGTCAGTGGCTCCAGGAGAGAACACTTGAGCTATGGTAGCAAAAAGCGCACACAGTAGCAACACCCAGGGGTTTCTCTTTGGGAGAACATTGACCCATTTCACCACATTTCTTCTGAGCTCCTGGATGACTGGGTTTCAAAGTGCTCAAAGACTTCAGATTCTCATTTTAAAGTCCTCCTCCTTCCCCCATTCCACCATCAAGAAGCAAAAAGAGGGCTGGGCTTGTGGCTCAGTGGTAAAGCCCTGGCCTAGCATATGTGAGGCACTGGGTTCCATCCTCAGCACCACATGAAAATAAATAAATAAAATAAAGGTATCATATGCATCTACAACTAAATATATTTTTTAATAAAAAAAAGAGGCAGAAAGAAGAGCAATTACAACTTTTGCTTAGGTGTTTACCTCTGGGAGACTCCAAAGCCAGTAATCTTGTAGCATCCATGAAACCACAGAAGCATGAGAAAGCCCACATGGCTAGAAAGCCCACAGTTTACAAAGGAGAGGTAACAAAAGATATCACCATAATTAAAAAATATATACACTAAGACAGAAATGCCTCTTAACTTAGGGAGATGGGAGTTTCCTCATCCATAGATACCACCTTTCTAAGAGTATTATATGGATTAAATGCAATGAGGCATATAAAGCACTTAGTGGCTGGCTTGTAGGGAAAGTTGGAGAAGCATTAGCACTTTTTTAATAATGTATTTATTACCATGGTGTCAAATGTGGAGAGGTCAAACCTGTGATGAGAGGAGTAGGCCCAACTTCTAGGACAGAACAAAGGATTGAAACAAAGTAAGCCAAATACCTCTTCATCATCCACTTGCCCAAAAATCTC